AAAAAGGTGTTTTTTACACTACCATTGAGAAATTTTAACCAAACTATGTTACAGACTTTTCATTAAGACCCTAAAGAATCATATCAACTTGTGGAAAATGGGCATCCGATGACCCCTTTAACATACTTTTCAGTAACCAAGTCACATCTATATCTACGTTAGTGATTATTTTTTAACTGCTTAAAAAATAGCTACAGTAATACAGCAGGGGAATTTTTTTTTATAATTTTCTGCTGCCAGCAGTTTTGTTATGGCTGTTATTATTAATTGTCACCTTCTTTTCAGGACATTAGTCATCGCATTCTCAGTAAACACCACGGGTGTAATGATGGTCACAGACGCAGGGGTGGACCTTTAATTTAACCGTTCTGAGTGGTTGTTAAAACCGGCCCACTCACAGATCATTTCAAGTTCATTTAGTTTCGGACGATACAGAAAGTGGTGACGTCCGAGTGGGTGAATTGTTCACTCTGTAATTAGCCCATCCATTGCCGCCAGTTTGACCCATTTCAAGCCGGTTTGCAGGCAGTGTGTGAACATGATAGCCAGGCATTATCTCATTGACTATAATCAGCCCATCATAGTGATGCAGGTACTGCTTCCTCTGTTGGATATAGTGTCGCTTCAGAAAGATGAGTGATTTATTTGATCTCATATTTAAAACATATTTTCTCATCCAAATGTTTTCTGAAAAGGACGCTGTTTGATTAATCTGTGTAGATGTCAGCTCAGTGTGTTGGCTGACTCCTGTCTCTTCCCCCATGTGTTCCTGAGAGAAATGGCCCCATCCTCATCCAGCCAGAGTGAGAGCTGCCTTTCCTTGAGGGAGGACATGTGTGGAATGGGCCGTACCCGCAAGAGGGCAGACATCTTGCAGAACGGCCCTCTTATGGTGCAGCTTTTGGGGGTCGACGAATGGTTGTAGACTCACAAGTGATGGTGGAGTTTGACTTGGACTGCTACTGCGTTTCATCCCAGTAATGTTGCTATGCTGAAAAAAGCTTCATCGCTGATGTACGCTGTCTCCGTGGTTCAGGAAACCCTCAGCGTTGTACCTCTGCACTATTGTGCAGTTGTTTGTGCGTGCGAACATCTTCACAAATGAGCGTGCAACACTCTGAAGCACTGACCGCTGTGGCTTCGGTTTGTTTATCTTCCACAAATGCTTGGTTTTTGCTTTCCTGCTCATGTAAAATCAACAGTGCAGCAAAATATGCGTTTGTTATAATGAACGACTATTAATGAATCTTTTGATACCAAAAAAGATTAACTGGAAGCCTTTTTTGTGTTTGTTATTGTTTTTCCCGCCATGTTGGAGTCCTCTGCCAGTGAGAAGAATGCTGCACAGATGGCACGCTATGTAAACTGTCAGCCATATGCATGCTATACACACACACAGAGAGAGGCTGTATTTTTACCTGGCACACATCCCAGAATTGATCCAAGAAAGGAATGAAAAATGTTCTTCTCCTTTTAGCTAGGTTAACTATGTAGCTGGCCATAGTCCTATGTATATATGCATAAAATGTATAGGGAAAAATGTGTGTATATACACTACCCCAAAAGGTTTTAAACAGTAAGATTTTTTATGTTTTTAAATAAGTCTCTTCTGATCACCAAGCCTGCATTTATTTGATCCAAAGTACAGCAAAAACAGTAAATTTTTTAAATATGTTTACTATTTAAAATAACTGTTTTCTATTTGAATATTTTTTAAAACTACTTCAGTCTGTGTGCATTGAATTTATTTAATACACGAGTTTCACAATTTGAGTTGAATTACTGAAATAAATGAACTTTTCCACGACATTCTAATTTATTGAGATGCACCTGTATATATATATGCCTTTTGAGGAAATTTTCCAGTGCGGGGAATGTAGAATAATTGCATCAGCCGTCATTGATTCATGGGGGAGTTTTTGTTTAATTATGTGTTTGAAAGGAGCATGAGGGGCATGAAGAAAATTGCATTAGCCTACTAAATATACATTGCATAAAACTATACAGGAATTTATTTATTTATTTATACGTGTGTGTGTGTGTGTGTGTGTGTGTGTGTGTGTGAACCTTTCCTAATGCTCTTTTCACATAACATAGTTAAACAAAAACTCCCTCCTGGATCAATGACGGCTGATGCAATTATTCCACACTCCCCGCACTGGAAAAATTCCTCGAAAAGGAAAATATTTTACTGGCACTTGACGCTCCAAGTCCTCCCTGTGCTTTGTTAGGTTTTCTTTTTCTGTCCAGCGCTGCCATATGTGTGTCCGTGTGGGCTCTTACACTCCAGCGGCTGTGTGTTTTGTGTGTGTGTGTGTGTGTGTGTGTGCTCAGAGCACACACCGTCAGCCCTGTCACTGTTTGCCGTTTAGCACTCAGTGTGAGATCAATGAATGGTAAACACTCACAACTCTGTGAGTCCCCAATCAGTAATTGAGTAGGTCTTCCGAGCTGATCCGCTGTCCTCCCTCACATCCCTGTCCTTACGGCTCCATCTTTCCCTCACCTTTCCTTCCCACAGGGAGCAAGACAATCTCGGGCTCCCTTTTTTTTTAGACCGCTGGAATTGATCACGATTGGAAGTATTATATTGTTTGAATTATGAAAGCAGGATTTTGATGCCTGGATATTTCAGCACGCGCTGTGAATGTGATTCAAAATGCATTTAGCTTCTGCCGCCGGCCTCTATTTTAGCCCTATAGATTTATTCCTTTTCCCCCTGTCTCATCCCATCACCCCGAGATCAGTCACCGTGGCCTCCAGCTCCCCACGGCATCAATCGATTAATTGATTTCGGAATCAATTAATTGAGCCATTAAGGCAGGCGTATGCACAGAGCATGAAATGAGATCTTTAAAACGGCACATATGGCCGCCGACTGCGCCGTGCCTCAACCTAAAGACCCACTGCATTTCTTCCTATACTTTTATTGAAAGAGCAATAAATGGAAAAGCATATTTCCAATTATAACACCCCAGTTGTCTCTTCTGCAGAGGCCCACTTGCCTCACAACGCCATTAAACCCAGCCTCTCGCAATAGGAAAAGTGCAATTTTGTTAAAGCAATAAAGACGGCGCACATCTTGTCAGTTTTACATTGGATGGTTTACTACACTGCTTTAGCGTTTTATCTTCCGTTTTTCTTTGTTCTCTGCCTTGAGGAGTGGGTGTTCTTTTGTTTATGACTTGTAATAACACAAGACAGATTTTTTTCCCTTCCACTTCTGCAGCCTTTCATATATTGAAAGACTAGTATTTTTCAAGAGCTCTCTCTCATGTTTTTCCCCCCACCTTTGCGTTTCAGTCGGGTGAGTATATCGTGCCACCTGTACAAACATTATGATGACACGATATTCATATTTACGGTCCCAGCGAGCCGTTCTTTATTCTTCATTTGAGCTTTGCTTTTTTCACTCTTTCTGTTGTCGCCTTTTGTCGGAGTCGCCCTGAGCACTGCCTGATTTAAATAACAGTGCCAAACGTGCACAGACGCACGGTCCGTTCCGTTGCCAGTAATTCCAGTGAAGCTTGCTTTAACAGTCCTGAGCATCTGTAATGTCAGAGAGGCAGTTGTTACACTGGGACTCAGTCATTCTTTTGTTCCAGACAATATGATTTTCAGAGCGCTTGAAGCATGACAGGACAGCTGCAGCAAGCAGAAAGTTGAAAAAATATCTCTGGGCATAACTGCAGGCTCGACACAGAGCCTCCGCTCCCCTTTCTCAAGCACCACAAAGGAAAACAAATGCACATATATTCACATACATACAACACACATAATGGGTGAATTACATTCAAGTGAGCACCACTATGGCCTCACTCCAAAGGGCAGAACACTTGAAGTCAAGTTTGGTGTAGTGAGAATGCACATTCATGAGAGCAGAATCATTCATTGTGAATGAATCATTCTTTTAAACTGGATCTTTTTAATTAATAAATTGATTCAGTTCACAAAATTGACCTGAAGGATTCATTTGTGAATTCTTGAATGATTCATTCTCAAGTTCAACTCACTGATTCACATCTGGTTAACATCTCACTGAAGGAGAATATTAGAGTATTATATAGAATATTATATTCTAATTATTATACAGTAAATTATAATGTAATTTTAATAATATTATTAGTGAATAACGGCTTACATTTTTATCTGTTAATCACACATAAAGTAAGACTTTAAAAGACTTCAAATGTACACTGCCATTCAAAAGTTTGGGAAATTAACTTTTGGGAAAGGGCGCATTAAATTGATTAAAAGTAAAGACTTTGTTAAAAAAAATAACTATTTTTTTTGTATAATTTAATTAAAGAATCCTTTAAGCAATGTCACATTTTCTGTTTTCAGCATTGATAATAAGAAAAATGTTTATTAGAATGATTAGAATGATTTCTGAAGGATCACTGACACTGAAGACACTGAAGACTGGAGTAATGATGCTAAAAATTCAGCTTTGCATCACAGGCAATAAATTACATTTTAAAACATATTAAAATAGAAAACAGATATTTTAAAGTGTAATAATATTTCATAATAGTACAGTTTTTACTATTCTTTTTTTTTCAAACAGATTAAGTCTTGTTGAGCATAAGAGAATTCTTTAAAACTCTTTGTAAGGATGCTTCATTAAAAGCTTCATTATTAAAAAATGATTCATTTGAAAAAAAAAGTATGGTTTGGAACAACATGAGAGCGAGTAAACGGTGGCAGAATTGTAATTTTTGGTTGAACTGTCCCTTTAAGGGCACAAAAATGCCATTTGGAAGTCGCCCACTGACACACAAACGTACACATGGGAGAAAAATAGAAAGCAAAGTCTCTCGCTGAAATACTCTCTCTAGCTAAGTCATACAAATACAGTGAGACAGAGAAACACACACACACACACACACTCAGGGCTAGGCCGCTTTCTCTCCCAGGCAGCAGTCCAGACTGAGAGGCACACAGTCGAAGGGAGCAGCCAGCAGTCATGCGTGGCCAGAGAGATTGAGAGAAAGCAAGATATAGTGAAGCAGCCATGCCATATTTCACCCACGGCCCCGACCCCAGCACACACTGCATTACAAACTATGCCTCAAACGTGCGTGTGTGTGTGTGTGTGTGTGCTCTACATATGGTTTTCATATCTGCCTGAGAAAGGGAGGCAGAAACAGGTGGTATAAGTTTTCACCAGTTATATTGTTAAAACAAAGCTTTGCGTCTGGCACCCCGGGAACGCCTGGAGGCGCAGGCACGCCAGACTATACCTCCTGACTGCAGCGCCACGATGGACCAAGTCGAAAAACACATCAGTGGTGCGGTCAACACCTGTGTGCAAAGACAGCTGCTTTTCTGCAACTGAAGGGCGCATCTTCGCCTTGAGTTTGTTTACAGTTGGCACATCAAAATTTGCCAGACTTACTGATATTCCCTGATTTCTTTTCCTTTTTTCCCACAGCAGACAGACGATTCAGCACAGACAGACAGCCAACAGCAAACACAGTCATCTGAAAACACAGAAAACAAAACGCAGCCCAAGAGGCTCCACGTCTCCAACATCCCCTTCAGGTTCAGAGATCCAGACCTCAGGCAAATGTTTGGCGTAAGTACCTGTTATATCTCTTTCTTTCTATTACTTTTATGGAATACAGCATACAGTGGCCACGCCAGCACAAGTGTAGCTAGGGTCTGAGGTGTGTGCTAACACACTGTTCTCCTGCTTGGTATTTGATGGTATTTGAAGATTGGGTAATATCTGTGATCTGGGTCAGCACCTTGTTTTGGTTCTTAGCTTCTTAAAGGAAGCAGCAGGGTTGCTTCACTGGTGTAACAGGGCATAACAGAATTATTTATTTGAATACGGAATGTATGTGTATATTTGTATGTATATATAGTATATATGTGTGTGTGTGTGTGTGTGTGTGTGTGTATATATATATATATATATATTTGGAATAAGAATTTTTGAATGAAAGAAAGAAAGAAAGAAAGAAAGAAAGAAATACTAATATTCCACAAATTGATCCAATGTGACAATAAAAAAAAAGTTAAAGTGTTACAGTACATTTCTATTATAAAAATAAAATTTGTTCTTCATGTTTATTAAACAATCCTGAGAAAATGATCACTGTTTCCACATAAATATTAAGTGGCACAACTGTTTCCAACATTGATAATAAGAAAAAAAAAATATATATATATATATTTATTAAGCAGCAAATCAGCATATTAGAATGATTAGAATGATTTTAAAATATATAAAAATACAAAACAGTTATTTTTATAGATATAGACAGTTATAGACTTTATAGTTATTTTTAAGAGATATATTTCACAATGCCACAATTTTACTGTATTTTTAATAAAAAATGATTTTGTTAAACAAAAGAAATGTCTTTAAAAAAAAAAATCATAGCATTCTCTTACATTTGAATGGTAGTGCCTATATATAAAATGATTTATTACAAGTATTTTAGCAGTTATTAAGTGCAAAAACAAAATGATCTTTTCAATTCAGTTTAAATGAGTATTACTCAAACCTTCTTATCTGTTAAAGCTCTTATTTTGATCAAAGGATTTGTTTTTTCAGAATAAAAAGAAATGCCTTATAAATGACCCATTAAAAGGGTGAATAATTGGTGATTTTTTTAGATTAACTAAAACATTTAAAACATGTAGCTTAATGCAGCTTGAACTGAAGTGTGTTTACATGTCAAATCAAATTTAGACACTGTCTGATCTGTGTTCTGTTCTCTTTCCAGCAATTTGGTAAAATCTTAGATGTTGAAATCATATTTAATGAAAGAGGATCAAAGGTACGTTTGTGACTCACTTCCTTTGCATGCTCTCATTCTTGACCAATCAGAACAGTCCAGTGAGTTTAGAGGCATAATGTTTATTTAAAAAGGCAAAATATCCAGTGATGAATTAGTACCTGTATTGTACAGAATAAACGCTTGTTGTAGTCATGTTAACGTATGTAATGCAATCTCATATCAGCTGCTGTGCTAGAGTTATTAGTGCCCTGTTCAATGGAGTGTGTGGAAATGTGTTTGGCACTTGTCTTTGTTCTGTTATGGTGTCAAATGAAGAACATTCTCCACTGAGCTCCGTAATTGACAGCGTTATTCAGTGTTATGACACTTAGCATCATTCCTGTGCACAAACAATTTGCTTTATTGAAATATGAATTATGTTCTTCTGTTCCAGCTGGGGGAGATAATGATGCATGTTAACAAGTTCTGTAGTTCACAATCCTTTATCATTTGTCTTACAAGTTTTTTTTTTTTGCTTTTGTAATGACTTTTCTTTATGTTGCGTTATACAGTGTTAAATGACAGCATTTATTTTATTCCACTTTTTTCCAATATATTTTGTTTATATGAAGACTTACTAAATGTATATCCCTTTGTTTGGTTTCTCTCTCTCTTTTTTTAATTTCATTAAGTGACTTTACTTTCTTAGACGTGCTATTTCATTTCATTTCTCCTCAGTGGTTCTAACGGAACCCGTAAATTATGGTTAATCTCGATGCTTTGCATGGTGCAGGAGAAAAGAGGAGGAGAAAGAGAGAGGGGTAAATGCAGCAGCAGCTGTTTTTGTGTGTGAGAATGGCAGAGGTAGAGCCACAGTGGATTTCTTGGGTGTATGACTGAATTAATAATGTGCATGTTGTTCTCCCCCCTCCCCTCTCCCACCTGCATGCAGGGTTTTGGTTTCGTAACTTTCGAAAATAGTGCCGATGCGGACAGGGCCAGAGAGAAATTACACGGCACGGTGGTAGAAGGTCGTAAAATAGAGGTGCATGTAACAAATATTTCCCTTCTCAATTGCTTTTTGTTTAGTTTTGTTTTGTTTTATTCATTTGTCGTTCTTGTTGTTATTCTTGTTTTGTGTGTCAGTGTGTGCCTCATTCTCATCTCACTATTTAATATTGTTATTTTAAATTTGATTATTTATAATTATTAATTATTAGTAGTCTTTTTTGACAGTTCTGCAGATGTTACCTGGATGGGATGAATTGTTGTTCCTTTTTTTTTCTTTTTTTATTCATTGGCTTAAATTAGGACTACATTATTATGTAATTATTTGTCCAATTTTTTTTATCTAAATAATTTAGTATTTTTAATCGTTTTAAAATGCCAGATTGTATATGACATATGATTATTTATTATGTATGTATGTATGATTAATTTAAATGATAAATTAATAAATAGGGTCTAAAATTAATTATAATCTATTAATTAATCGGTCTAATAATGTCTAAAATATGATAATTAAAGCTCTGATAAATTATGGAATATTATATTAACAGACTATCCCAATTTTAATAAAACAATAGGCCTATACCTTTAGAAGCACGGATGTGTCTGTCACTTTAAATGTATGGTTCATTCAAAAATGGAAATTCTGTCATACTTTGCCCAGGTTGTTCTAAACCTGCATAAAGTTCTTTCTTCTGTTGAGCACAAAAGAAGATACTTTGAAGAATGTGGGTAACTAAACAGCTTCTGGTCCTCAGTAACTTCCATAGTAGAGAAAAAATACTAGTAGAGTCATGGGGACCACAAACTGTTAGGTTACCCACATTCTTTAAAGTATCTTCTTTTGTGTTCAACAGAAGAAAGAAATTAGTACAGGTTTGGAACAACTTGTGGGTGTGTAAACGATGACAAAATTTTCATTTTTGGGTGAACTGTCCCTTTAAGTCAGACAGTCCACGGTGAGCAACTGAAATGCCTCTCTGCAAACTGTGCGTTCATCATTAGTTACAGGACAGACCCATTGATAACTTTCCCATTCAGCCCTACATCTGGAGAGCCTTGTGTTCAAAGGGCGGACATGAGCTCCTAGATGTTTTAAACCGCGGGACAAATCGCGTCCCGTATTGGTTTGATACGGGACGCATCATTTTACCTTTAAATACGGGACGATTCCGTATTTTAAGGGACGGGTGGCAACCCTACTCCCCACATTGTATCCCTAATACGTTTCAGTTATTCTAAGATCTCAAATCAAATATAATACGGTGCTCGCCGTTATCTAATTGGTTTGCTTTTGTTGGCATTCACTTGTGTTTATTCGGTTCTTTTCTGTTCTATTCTGTTTTTGTTTTTTTTAAAGCATATTTTGGCTTAATAAACAAACGGGTGCAGTAAGTCATCAGGCAGAGTGCAAACAGCATTTGTGTGATGATAGCCAGAGGCCTTATTGCAAAGTTGACGAGGGATCTGCTCTTAAAGCGGCCCGAAGTCGGCAGCGCTTGGTAATTGGCCTGAAGACGCTGCTATTAGACGGAGCTGCTCTCAAACACAAGCCTATTAAAATCTACAGCTCAAATTACACTTACTTTACAGTCTAGAACAGTCACTGAAGGTGAAATACTGTAGCAAAACTGATCTGCAGGTCTGCAGCGAAAGTGGGCATCTTTATAGCCGATTCCCATTTGACAGTTGTGCTTCTTTCTTTACTTGATTTTTTTTTCTTTTCAATTTTAAGAGTTATTCGGATGTGGTGCCGTCTTTAAGTAAGATGTTGCCTATTTTGCCTTCTCATTTCCCCCCCTTTTCCAACGGTAGCTGGTAGGCCCCTCACCAAACTCACTAACCGTGGTAACAATACATACACACGCGGGCGATGGCGGCGAATGGTAAGTGGAGAGCCATCTGCCATTTCACGAACTCCGCGCTGATACCTCGTGACTGTTTTTTGACTTGATGTTGAGTTTCTTGATGCTGTTTTCTCTTGGTACACGTTACTTGAGTGAACATTTAGCTTCCTGAGAGGCTCTGATTGGATTGAACTGAATCGTGCGCATCCTACTCAGATTCTGAACTCCATGATTATGTTAAATAATGCACCCTCTTTTTATATCCTTTGTTAGCTGTCCTTTCAGCTTGAATGATTTTCTTTCGTAATTTTTTTTATTTTTTTATTTTTTTCCTTTCTGATTATTATTCTTGTGATGAAGCACAAGGCTCTTGGAGTGTTGAATGCTAAATGTTGCTTTGTTTTCCGACTGTACCTCAACTCTGAATGTTTAGTGTATGTTGCGCAGTGCCAAACGTTTTTTCTTTCTTTCCATTCCTACGTTTTCTTTCTTTTCTTTTAACCTAATCGTTCCCTCTCCACTGCATGCTGTCTCATATTCGATGCCTTTCATTTGTTGAGTGCATTTTGTGTGTTTTTGTTGGGGTTTTTTTCTCTATGTACTCCTTCAACTTGATCTTTTTTTTTGATGACGCATGCTGACGAGTCTTTTTATGAGACTATTGCATATATTTTCTTTGCTTTATGTGTCTTACCACTTTTCTTTAACTGTTTGTTATGATCTGTAATCATTTTGAAAACCTTCACTGTAATGCATGCAATATTTGTTAAAACAATATTTTCAGTATTACAGCTTTAGTTTCAGTATGTTTCTTGCTCACACACTTCTGTTTGTGCTCAGGTTAACAATGCAACAGCACGGGTAATGACGAATAAAAAGACCATCAACCCATATGCAAACGGTAAGAACAAGTTTCATTAATATTGCGAAACATCATACCGCTTTCTATTATGTTTTGATGGACTGATAAACAGTGTTGGGAAGGTTGCTTTGGAAATGCAATAAGTTACAGATTGCAAGTTGTAATAAGTAGTGTCAACTATTTTAATTACTTTATTAAAGTAATGTAACTGATTACATGTGATTACTTTTTGATTACTTTTCAAAATTTCTAACAAATGTACAGATTCTGAACTCCATGATTATGTTAAATAATGCACCCTCTTTTTATATACTTTGTTAGCTGTCCTTTCGGCTTGAATGACTTTCTTTCGTTATGACTTTTTTTTTTTTATATATATATATATATTTTTTTTCCTTTCTGATTATTATTCTTGTGATGAAGCACAAGGCTCTTGGAGTGTTGAATGCTAAATGTTGCTTTGTTTTCCAACTGTACCTCAACTCTGAATGTTTAGTGTATGTTGCGCAGTGCCAAACGTTTTTTCTTTCTTTCCATTCCTACGTTTTCTTTCTTTTCTTTTAACCTAATCGTTCCCTCTCCACTGCATGCTGTCTCATATTCGATGCCTTTCATTTGTTGAGTGCATTTTGTGTGTTTTTGTTGGGGTTTTTTTCTCTATGTACTCCTTCAACTTGATCTTTTTTTTTGATGACGCATGCTGACGAGTCTTTTTATGAGACTATTGCATATATTTTCTTTGCTTTATGTGTCTTACCACTTTTCTTTAACTGTTTGTTATGATCTGTAATCATTTTGAAAACCTTCACTGTAATGCATGCAATATTTGTTAAAACAATATTTTCAGTATTACAGCTTTAGTTTCAGTATGTTTCTTGCTCACACACTTCTGTTTGTGCTCAGGTTAACAATGCAACAGCACGGGTAATGACGAATAAAAAGACCATCAACCCATATGCAAACGGTAAGAACAAGTTTCATTAATATTGCGAAACATCATACCGCTTTCTATTATGTTTTGATGGACTGATAAACAGTGTTGGGAAGGTTGCTTTGGAAATGCAATAAGTTACAGATTGCAAGTTGTAATAAGTAGTGTCAACTATTTTAATTACTTTATTAAAGTAATGTAACTGATTACATGTGATTACTTTTTGATTACTTTTCAAAATTTCTAACAAATGTATTCAACTGTTAATCATTTTGAAACATTTAAAGCAGGCAGGGTTAACCTTACAGTAGTACTCAGCACTGATGTCAGACTTTCAAAATCCATCACTCGAATATAATAATTTCATCTGAAAACGCAGCCACCACAAAATCAGACTTTAGCACCTCTTTTTTACTTTGAGATTGTTCTGAGGTTAAATACAGATTTAAAATGATAAGATGTAGCCTAGTTTAATAGCTATGATACTGTTTTTGAAATCAAATCTTTGCATATCTATGACAGTAAATACTGGCATCTAACAATGCTTTGGAAAAAAACGTAAATTGTTTTTTTTTTAAAGCATGTACATAAAACCAAATAAAACCATTATTAAATAAGCATGTGTTCTAAACTCCTGAAACATTGGTGTCTCGTATTTTAAAACAGTCAATGCAATTTTGGAAAGAAATCAATCATATCTGTATGTGTGTGAAAATATTCAGATGTAACCCCCTTTGTAATCGTTAACATCTTCATAAGTAACTGTAATTTAATTCCACATTTTTTTTCTCAGTAACTGTAACAGATTATATTTACATTTATTTACATTATTCCATTACATGTAAGTTACTCCCCAACACTGCTGATATATTGGCCAGTCCATTGTCAGTTCAGACACAATACTTATTTTAATTATTTGGGTAAACATGTTTTGTATTTTGTTTTATAAACAATTTTTTGAGTGTAAAACAAAATAATAATACAATAATTTGCTAACATTCAATTGTATTGTATCATCTGAGGTCTGTATCTGAGACCACTAGTAAAATGGTTCTATTCAATTTTTCGAATTTATACTAATGCACAAATTACATCAGTCGAAAATTTTGAGTAAAAAGTTGAATTGATATTCCTTTAATGACAGCAGCACTGTTACACATTTGTATAAAACCTGAAGATCGTGTTCTCAAAAGATCATCTTGTGTAGATCAGTGTCACAAATGTACTCATTTATTTAACAACCCAGTAACAGTGCAGAATATTAAATATTTCATATTCATTTAATGCTTATTAGCATGCTATTTTGCAAGTTTCTTTTACTGTCTTATTCACACTCAGTAGCTTTCTGTGGCCACAGACCTCACAGATTCAAACGAAGTTCTTGTAATTCTCGGCTTTCTGAAAATGGTTTTCACTGCAGTTCTCTTCCTCACCGAAAAAGTTTAAATGGAAGTGAAATGCCGAGACAACCTTTTAGATCCCAGTTGATATCACTGAAATCTCTCTCTTTTTTTGTACTTATGGAGGGCTTAAACAGACAGGCCATTTGTAGAGGTTAGAATCAGAGAGAAATCTGTCAGGCCGCTCCGTGCCCTTTCCTTACTCTGGATGACAGCAGCGCTTCAGTGTGGTCAGCCCTCTACTGACATCATTACGCATTGGCCTGGAGGTTCTAGTTAGCCAGAATCCATCTCTATGTCTTGTGTAGGATCAGATGTAAATTTCTAGTGGTGCAGATATCAGATCTCCCTCTCTGTCTTATGTCTAGGGTGGAAGTTGAATCCAGTCATGGGTGCAGTCTACAGCCCAGAATTCTATGCAGGTGAGTGGATCCGCATTTAAAAGGAACTGGCTCTGTAACTCATTATACCTTTAGTAAAAAGATTGAGTATGCATGTTATTCCAATGATGAAATAGTTTGATTTTTGGACAAAAAAGATTTTTGGACATAGCTCCAACAAAAACAAGACTTTTGAAAAATGTAGGGAAGAATGCCATGGGAAATTATCCAAAGCATTTTTTTTTCTTAAAAAGTAAAATTGTAAAAATGTATTAATTATTTGTAAATGTAGAACTCCTATGAATTAAAATTAACCAAATCATTATCATTTATCTTCACCTTTCTGTAGATTTTCTGAAGTTTTGTGTATTCTTTTTTTTGTGTTCTTTATGAATAAACGCAATCATATTACGATAAATGCTGCAAATGAATAATTGTACAAAGCATCACTGTAACACAGAGGGTTAGATGCATTTGCATTTAGTGCTAATGGGCAGCTTCACTAATGTGCTTTCACTGCAAAAAATTGCTTTTCTTACTTAGATTTTTTGTCTTGTTTCCAGCCAAAATATCTAACAATTCTTAAACCAAGAAGAGTTTTCTAGACAAGTAAAAATTATTGTCTTATTTTCAGAAAAAAAGTTTTTGCTTGAAACAAGCAAAATAATCTGCCATTGGGGTAAGAAAAATAATCTTGTTATCTGTTTGAAATAAGATTATTTTGCTTACTCCATTGGCAGATTATTTTGCTTGTTCTAAGCAACAACAAAAAAACACTTAATTTTGACTAGTTTTTTCTGAAAACAAGACAATAATTTTTACTTGTCTAGAAAATCCTTGATTTAAGAATGTTTAGATATTTTGGCTGAAAACAAGACAAAAAAATCTAAGTAAGAAAAGCATTTTTTGCAGTGTTGTGTGTGAAAAAAGTTCTCAACCCACAAGCCCTGAATCATCTGTTTATGAACACTGCAGAGGATATGAAATGGTGAATTACTCTGATATCAGACATGATATTGTCATATTCCTTTCAAAAAGCAAGTTTTATAGCTCACTGTTTTCCTGTTATGTTATTTTATTACCATATATTGGACTTACAGTGGCTCCAAATAGTATTGGCAGCTTTAAAAATGTATGAATCTCATTGCGTTAGAGTCACTGGATGAAAAATCAAAGAAAGTGCCATTCATTTTGAAGAAAGAAAGTGCACTTTTCACGCTAATAATTTGATATTTCATAGTAAATGCGATGAACTACACCAGTGGTTACTCTGCTAATAAAACTACCCCAGAAATGCCCCCAAAAAGTTACATGTTATTTGTTATAGATGCCACTAGCCCAGCTAACAAAAATTTGTTCTAAGTACATTTTGCTAATATTTCCATTGTAATATGAAAACATTATATCTGAACATTCAAAACATTTCACAAATGCTTTTAAAAAGTGTTATTTTGCTTATGCAAATGTCAAAGGAACATTCCATTTTATAATGGGAACATTACTTGTGAATGTTCTCTGAATCTTCTGAAACAAGTAGTGACATTTAAAAACGTTTCAGAAATAAAACACTCCATGAGCAATGTATAAGTAATGTTTTTGTGCTAATGCTTTGAGAACATTAGTAAAGACCAGGTAACTCTGAACGAACATCTGTTAGCATTGCTAGAAGAATCTTTGTTCCTAATTTTGAGAGAACCTTGCCAGAATGTTAACCTGAGAATGTTCTGAGAATGTTCCTTGTTAGCTAAGTGGTTTGAACGGAGTGGGTGGTAGAATGAAATTCGAACATTTTAAGTGTGACTTAAAAGTGTTCAGATACTTGTTGGGTCTTTGTCAGTGTTGTTCAGTTTTTGGTTAAAAATATCAACCACAAACAAGCAGAAGATTGTAGCAGTTGTTGTTTAACTGCATTATTTGACGGAGGCATAGTTCTGGGCCTGGTGTTTGGAGGTGTGTATAATGCGTGACCTTAATCTACGGGCTCTGGCATCAGCTTGAAAGAGCTGGCAGGCAGGAAGTGATTATTCTAATCACCCAAAGGGCCTGTTTCACAATGTGCATCTGTGCTCGCTGGCCTATTGGCAAGAGGCTCCAAGACGCCGTTGTCACAACTGCAAACACGCTACACATCTTTGAAAACATAATCCAGCGAGCTTCCAGAGCCCCAGGGCTTCATTTCATTTTATGGGCCTTTGAAAGCAAGCGGGTTTCGCTGGTTGAAACACACGCTGAACTCTTTTTCTCTCGCTTTCTTCGGTCATCTCCTCCTCAACCTTGGCCATCCCAGCCTCTGACCTTCCCCGAACATCATTACCTCCTCCATTATATGGGAAAATATCGAGATTTTATGATAATAAGAAGAAACGGGAAGGCAAAAATATTGAGGTGATGGTTAAATCGAATTGTCTGTCGACGCAAGGGCATCAAAGGGCTGAAATATATTTTATAAATTAAAATCAATATTTTCAATTTCTCTAGACAGTCGTTTGCCTAATTCAGCGCACATTCTGTTAATTACAAAATGGCTCATTATTGATTTGCTTTCGTCTCACCTTTCAAGTGTCCAAACAGCCCACATCCCATTAAGGTGCGAATGTTTTGTTCTTCCCAGCACTCACCATTTCTTTTTCTTTTTTTTAGATCTTTGTCTTAATTATAATTAAAGCGTTGTTAATACGCCCGAATTGTGGCGATATCGGAAAACGCCTCAGATCTTTTCGCTTGTCTAATGGCAGAAATAGGCTTTGGCACGAAGCTGCTGGGATTGCAGATAGAAAGACTGCACAGAGCGATTGAGCGTGAATTTGAATGGTGACTAGTAAGCTAGAAAGTTACTTATATAAACAAATATCCTGAAGGACCGGGATGGAAAAGGAGCGTCTTTGATTCATGAGACAGTCAGATGTGTGACGTGAGGTTGGTTTCTGAACAAGCCTCAGCGGTCGCCACTCGAAGCGGCTCTCACCTGCGGCAGACTGTTGATTTAAGATAGCTTTGATGTTCATTAACAGTTCTCCGGCTGAGGCGAATGAAAGCTATTGGCACAAGGCTGAGGGATGACCAACGTGCCAGACCTCGCTTGTCTGCCGGGCTGATCTCTGATTAAGTGTTACGGCTGACGGAGATTGGGCGGATGTTTGAAAATTAGACTTCCAGCAATTTACGCCCAGAGATTATGCAAATTGAGGCCACCTCTGACCACGGGAAATCTGAGGCTCTTCTTTAAAGACGCACACATACACACTCTGTCTTTCTCTAATGCATGTGGGGGGTTTTTTTTCAGGAAATGAGTTCACACACGAGCAAGGTTAAAAAGATGCATCTCTAGCAATTATTTTTTGAAAGTCATACAGTATATGCTGCCTGATAACAAAAGGCAAATATAAGGGTGTTTCCTCAACTATGGGCGCTTTTAGAAGATACACGTCTGACAGCTATACTTGTGCATAGACACATGCATCATAAGAGAATTCTGTTTTATTTTTGTTCCTAAACCAATAATGTCATTTCTATCACATATAAAAATGGTGTATTTTGTTTTCCTTGCTAAGGTAAATTTAATAATTAGCCTTTTATGTATTCAAAATGCACACACTTAATGTTTTAACATTTTTGCACAATTTGACTATTACTATGCAAACTTGTAATTGCAACTTGAGAAAAGTCAGAATCGTGAGATATAAACTTGCAATTGTGAGGGAAAAAGTCACGATTACTTTTCCTTTTTTTATATTTCATAGTGGCAAAGGTGTTCCATAATTACAGCATCATTGGAAATGATGCACAATAAAATATTCCATTAAAAAAAAATTGTAGTGCAATGAAATTCAACCATTTTAATTGTGACTTGTCCAAATACTTTCTATGGTCTCTGTCCGTAACTGTTGTCTCTTTGGTAACCACATACACAAATATAAATAGTAAAATAATAATAGCTACTGTATACATAGTTTCTTTTTTCACTTTATTTCACTGTTTTAGATTAACTACATATATATATATATATATATATATATATATGAAATCTGTTTGAATTAAAATCAACCCCTGAGACATGAAAGTGCCTACAAGTTGAAGAAATGTACACATAAACGCTCACACCATTCAGACTTCACGTTTCTCTGCACACACATACACACATTCATTTATTGACCTCAATTTCTCATCTTTAATGTTTATTGGCAAAGAAATAATTGATCACAAATTGGTAAACTCATTTCCTTAAGTGAGAGGAGAAGAAGGGTAACTTCTCTATGCCCAACATTCAGATTATTGAATTTTCAGAAGAAACAGACTCGTATTGGCTGAGAGAGTTTCAGCCATATGAACTGAAATGGAGTACTTTGGGTCGTAATGATTTAGAGGGTGATTTGTATTGACTGACAGTTTCGCAGCACTAATGTTTCAGTGTTTTAGTATGACATCACTGTCCTTGCTCTCTCTCTCTGATTGAGTCCTGACTGAACGAGAGACAGTGGAAAATTATAATTTTTATAATTTTATAACTGGCGCTTTCAACATTGCTGGGCTTTTTTTTAACTCACAAATACTGAATGATAAGTTTGAAAAGTGACGTGCAATTAACGGAGCGCAAGAGAAGAATTTGCAAATATTCAAAAAGGCAGCAGCAAAATGGAATTAATTTGAGCAGATAGGGTATCGTGGAAGACAACAAACGGCTTTTAGCGGAAGGACGAAGCGTTTTAAAATGGAATGAAAGCACTTTTGGTGGCCTCTTCTGTGTTGTACATTGAACGTTTGAGATTGCATTGTGGGAAGAAACAATTTGAAATGACCCCGACATGTGTACAGAGGTGATTAAAAATGTGCATTCATTAAGACTTGAAACGTGTTTCAAAAGACTGCTTACTGTGAGATTACATACGTTTGGATTATAAAGCTACCAGAGAACAGTGTATATAAATAGTGACTGTCTACTTACATTTTTCTTAAAGGAAAAAAACTGCAAATTTAATAGGGGATTGGTCAGCTAGTCATCCAACAACTGACTAGTAATCTAGATTTTTTTATTTTATTTATTTATTTATTTATTTTGCAAATGAGTGGTGATAATCAGAATCATTCAGAATTTCCCCCCTCATTCAATTTTAACTTTTATTTTAATAAATTTTATTGATAATTACAATCATTATTTCTAGTGCTGTCAAACGATTAATTGCGATTAATCACATCCAAAATACAAGTTTTTGTTTACATATGAATTATCCATACTCAATACACAACGCATTTGATCTGAAAGCTGTGAGATTGTTGTCTAATTTTGAAGCGCATCTTGTTTATATATGCATCTGTAAAAGAGTCTCTGCGGTTTGCTGCACTGTGAAAGGTTGCAGAGCGTGATGCACAGGGCAGCCGAACCTCCTGCAATGTTTATAAAACATGGGCTCTGTCCACACGTCAACCCCCCCAAACACTTCCCATTTAGAAATTATTGCACTACAAAGCAGTTGTACACTTTTATGGCTTTGATGCGGAGGCTACCTCCCGTCGGCCAGAGCATCTGCTTCACTGTAATCGCTCTCAAAGCAATAAAACGGACTAACTCTCCTGTGCATCCCCCCGGAGCTCACTGCTGCTGCTGCACGCTCCCATCTTTCATTCAGCGGCACTTACTGTTGCTCCGTTTTCATCTAGCCCTCCACCCTTCATCGTTCTAAATGAAAGTGCATAGTCTAAGTTGTTTATCCTGTAAATATTCAGGCTAAATACATCTCATATTTATTTTCCTCAGGACACATTCTACACATCAAAGTGAAGCTATTTTAATAAATTTTATTGATAATTACAATCATTATTTCTAGTGCAAACAAACGATTAATTGCGATTAATCACATCCAAAATACAAGTTTTTGTTTACATAATATATGTGTGTGTACTGTGTATGTTTATTATGTGTATATAAATACACACACATACAGTATATATTTTGAAAATATTTATATGTATATATTTATGTTTATTATGTTTATATGTAAATTATTTATATTACAGATAAATATATTTAATATATAAACATGACATATTTTTAAATATATACTGTATGTGTGTGTATTTATATACATATAATAAATATACACAGTACACACACATATATTATGTACACAAAAACTTTATTTTGGATGCAATTAATCACGATTAATCATGTGACAGCACTAATATTTCACATTTATTTATTCTTTAATCATTTTCATCGTTTCATATTTCAATTTCTTTAATTGTATTTTCTTAAATCATTTTATTTTCAGTAGAATCATTTCAAATTTTATTTTCAGTCAGTTTATTTTATTATGAAAATGATTAATAAAATAAACTGACTGAAAATAACATTTGAATTATTTTATTATGAAAATGATTAATAAAATAAACTGACTGCAAATAAAATGTGAATTATTTTATTATGAAAATGATGAATAAAATAAACTGACTGAAAATAAAAATTGAAATGATCAATGATTCTACTGAAAATAAAATACAATTAAAGAAATTGAAATATGAAACGATGAAAATGATTAAAGAATAAATAAATGTGAAATATTAGTGCTGTCAAACAATTAATCGTGGTTAATTGCATCCAAAATAAAATTTTTGTTTACATAATTCCCTATTTTACCCAGCACTGGGTTGTATTTAACCCAGCATTTTTTAGAGTGTACTTTCTTAATTTGTTTGATTTTTTTTAAATCTTTTTTACTTCCATTAATTATTTTCATAATCATTGATCCTAGTTTTCAACAAGCTGCAGAATTATCCGTACTCAATACACAGTGCATTTTACATCAGCTGTGAGATTTGTCTAATCTCGAAGCGCCTCTTGTTTATATATTATGCATCCGTAAAAGAGCCTCTGCGGTTTGCAGCACTGTGTAAGGTTGCAGAGCGCGATGCGCAGGGCAACTGAACTAAATATTCAGGCTAAATACATCTCATATTTATTTTCCTCAGGACACATTCTACACATCAAAGTGAAGCTCTTGCAAATATGCAAACATGTACGCAGCATATTTCAAAAATGGCTGTCAGATGGGCTGCCTGGCATGGAAGGAGAATGAAATAAAATGTGACTAATGAATATTATAGTTTTTTTTTTTTTTTAATGCTGCATTTTTAAATGCTGCATTTAAATGCTGCCTTTTATATACGTATATATGATTCTGATACTAGTGAATTATAGATAAATGTTATTGAATTTTAACAAATGTATGTTAACCTTACAAATATGAAACATTTCAGTAATGGGAAGGTAATGTCTTCCTTTATAAATACAATAAATTTGTAAGTAAATTGTAGAGTTCATTTCGCTGTATTCTGCTCTTTTATATAGTAAGACAGCTGTGGTGCACTGCATGAAAGCGAGACATATCCAAGATGACAAAGAGTCAAATGGAACAATCCTTTTCACCTTTCTACATCACGCAAACCCCTTCCTTAAATCTTAATTTTGATCAGCCAAATGAAAGATTCAGTGCTCCTATTAGGCATTTATATGATCTCCTTTTGAAAACCTGTAATGTTAAAGAATGGAGCAGCTTTCACAAACCCCCTCTCTCTTTATTCCTCTCAACCATTTCAAATTAAGCCTCTTAAAAGTAATTTTCACCACCGACGCCCTATTAAACTTAATGATCATTTAACAACAATACAAAGCTTTCTGTTTTCACCCAGCCTCAGAGGTCTGTATGCCTCCCGTAGTTTGGTTATTACTCATTGTTAGAGTTTGGGGCTAATTGCAGGTGTAGATGGAGGTAGGGTACCATTCCTCACAGCTCCGATTAGTTGAGACTTATAGTTCATTTGGCAGTTTATTACACGGCGCTCTGGAATACTTGATCCTGATTGGTCAGTCGTGGCATTCTGCAGTCAAATATTACATTGTATAACTGCATATTTGACTGTCCCTAGCAACACTGAGCTATTTTTTGTATCAGCCTGTTGTGTCTTTGTTCTCACACATTAAAACGATTTCACCTCAAATCAATCCTTTGACCATTTAGTTGCTTATTTCAAAAGTAGCCGTGTAATCACCCCGAGGGGGGTTATTTTGCAATGATGGCGTTTAAAGGGGTTATATCCTGCCTTTTTGCATTTTATTTTTCCCCAGAAATCTACATTTTTGTACTACCAAACATTTTTAGTTTAGTTTTGCTTGATCATTTTTGCCTCTTATGTTTTTTGCTACTGTAGCTTTAAGGCATCTATATGTAAATGACATCTTTATGATTGGTTAATCTCAGCATACTGACAAAGTTCACGCTGTCGTGCATCAGGGTAGGCCAGATGGCTGAATTTTGAATAGGCGTTAATGTATATATGTGGGCGGCATGTTAATGTGCTCGTGATGGTGATGTCACAGTACATCAAACCCTTTATTTCAAAACAGCATGAAAGGCCTGTTTTTAAAAGTACATAATGGCAGTTCTCCCAGTGCTGTCATTATTTATATACTATTTATTAATAATATATTATTTCTATAAATATTATTCATATTTTATTATATATTATATTTAATATATCATATTTTATTATATACATATATTTATTTGTTCTCATTTTTCAAGTTTTAGTAATGTTGTGCTTTGAGCATTTTTATTCATTTTTGTTTTTATTAAATAATTCTATTTAGCCTTCATTTATTTCATTCATTTATTAGATTTTCTCATTTTCATAAATAACTAAGTTTATGTTGTTCATCTAATATTTGTTTTATTTTTAGCTTTGTTTCAAGTACAACAATTTTTTTGTAACACTTTATTTTAAGATGTCTGTTACACATGTTACGTGTATTATAATAACAATTATTTATGCATAATTACATGCAACCCTATTCCTAACCCTAACCATATAGTAAGTACTTGTAGTTAATTAATATTACTTTGTACTTACATATATATTTACATGTACAGTATTTGAAAAATAATGTGTTTTTTGAACATTAAAGCATGTCAACATATTCTGTTACACCAAATACACAAAATAATGATCTTTAAAAAAGCATCATATGACCCCTTTAAAATAAAGTGTAACCCAATTTTTGGTATCAATTTTACAGTGTCCTTGTAACTCAAGTTACATGTACTTACTATAGTAACAACAATAAATTATGCATACATGCAACTAACCCTACAGACTGTTGTTAATTAATCTTACTCCGTACTTAAATGTACAATTACACTGTAACAAGAACACCATAAAATAAATGTATAGTTTTAGTTAAAAATAACTACACTGTTCCAAACCTGTTTAACTATTGTTCTTCTGTAATGGTTCCTCATGTGTATACTGTATGTTTTCTTCACAGTGCCAGGCTTCCCATACCCAGCAGCCACGGCGGCAGCGGCGGCGGCGGCGTACAGAGGGGCACACTTAAGAGGAAGGGGGCGCACCGTCTACAATACGTTCCGGGCAGCTGCGCCTCCCCCACACATCCCAGCCTATGGGGGGTACGTAACTACACTCCCTTCTCACATACACACACACACACACTAGTTCACCTTTAGTCCTCTCTTCTGACAACCACTCCCCCTCGTCGCTGGGCTGCTGTAACGTGCATGCATCTCTACCTCAGCACACACAACCAGTGCAGCATGAAACCCGTGCATCCTGCAAGTAATGATGACAGTCAGCTGCCATGCTGTTCTATCATGGTCGATGGCCTTAAGCGTTCCTTTTTTGTAATGTAACATTATGTAAATCCTCTCAAACTACTAAATGCAGAAGGATTTGTGATCTCTGAGCAGTCAAATGATGTTTCTGATTATTTTGGTTCTGATTTCATGTGTGTAACTGCAAGCTGATAATATTGATGGAGGTTCTGTGGAGTTTTGAGGTGTCAGGGGCCACAGACTACAGTAGTTTCCACAATCTGTCTTGTGTAAAATTGACAAACGCGAAGGTTAGAAGAGATTCACAGCAAAAAAATACAAAAAAGCTAAATAAAAACATGCCACTTAAACTGTGTGATAAAAATAAATCTAAAGGAAATATCAGTGCTTGTAAGGCATTAATAGAATTTTTAGATTTAAGAAGTTTTTGATATGATTTTTAGTCTTTGGATTTGCCAAGTCATAAAACTACTCTAGTAAAAAAGTTATATATTTAAAATACTTTTATTTTATACTAAGTGTAGTTCAAATGTATTAACGTATTTACTGACAGATAGCTCGAGACTTACTGATATAAAATTTTTTAATGAATCTTCATTTGGAGTATTACTTGTGCGCAATGCATTTTTCTTATTAAGAAGCTTAAAATGTGTTTTAATGTCACTTTTGATGAGGATTGTATGATCTTTGAATAATATCAGTCTTTAAATGCAAAATATTTAAAGTGTACCTAAAGTATACTTGCAATAGTTCCACTTTAGCATAATCAAATATATTAAGTGTATCTTTAGTTGGACTTCAGCACTACTTCTGCACAATTAAAGTGCATTAAGTACAAAATTAGTTGTTCCAATTTAGCAGACTTGAAGTATACCAGTTTAGTATACTAAAAGTACAATTGCGGGGCATTTTAGTAGGTACATAAAGATGAAAATGTATTTGAAGTATACTTAGCATGAAATAAATGTATTTCAAATACATTTAAGTATATTTATTTTTCACTAGGGTAAACACAAAATATAGATTGTATTTTATTAGATTTTAAAGAATTAACAGCATTTTACAGCTTTTGATGTGGCTCAGAAATTATCATTGTCACCCTCAATTACATTTTAAATGCCAATAACCAATCAAGTGATTTTCAAACTTTAATCTTAAAATTAAAAAAAAATGTTTACAAACTAATTGTAAATTAAACTTATTGTAAATTATTGTTGTTAATAATTTTGGTCTTTAATTATTTTCAGACGGGTGATGCTTTAAAACTATTCCAAAGCGATATGGTTGATTAATAATAATAATAATAATAATAATAAATTCATTTCCCCCTCATTTTTAACATGTACTACATAGATTTTATTTGTATTTTTCATTTTTTACATTTTGCTAATGACTAAAATATGATGTGAGGAAATTTCAGCTCTCTGTGGCCCCTGTACAAAGCCTTTACTCCTTTCTAATTACTTCAAAAGTGCTTGTAGAGACCCTTTGTCACTCTTATTCAGTGTGTATGTATTTCTTATTCTGTTCCACTAACCCTGGCTAGAGATGGGGTTGGTATTGCTTGCATGGGAACATGCACTAATATTGATGTGTTTGTCTGTGTGTGCGTGTGTTTGCATCTTTCCAGTGTTGTTTACCAGGACGGATTTTATGGTGCAGATATTTATGTAAGTATTCGCATGCCGTCCTTGAATGTTCATGTACATAAATCTTAATTTGCTGAGTGCTCTGCTAAATGTACTGAATGTTGGCTGATGTCTGTAAAATGAAGCTACGCTAGCATAGAACAGACAGCCTTAAAATGAAAAGAAAAACTGGATACATACCACATGCAGGGGTGCAATAAGGCAGGAAGATCTACCAAATATAAACGACACAGCGTGTGTAATATCTCTCCATTTAATCTGTAATATACAGTGCTTTGCATTTCCCTCATGTGGCTGACTTTTCATTTCTAGAAGATTTAGAAATGCCCAAAGCCACACTGTAACAAACAAGTCCATTTGCAACATCAGTAATGATTGGAAACCCTCCAATATGACCTGATCGTTTTGATCTAGGAACACAAGTCTCTGCTTTTTCTAATGATGTAATTATTTTGTTTCACCAACATAAGCCTGTTTGCTTCTAAAGAAACAGAGTATAAGAATAAGAAAATTGGCTAACACTTTATTTTAAGGTGTCCTTGTTACACGTTACATGTACTTACCATTAAATTAACAATAAATTATGCATAATTACATGCAAGTAACCCTAAACCGAACGCTAATCCTAACCCTAACCATATAGTAAGTACATGTAGTTAATTAACATTACTCAGTGCTTAAATGTATAATTACACTGTAACAAGGACACCTTAAAATAAATTGCCTCTAAAGTTTCCGAAAATGTAGACTTTTTTTGTTGTTCAAACATGCGTTTAATTATTTAAGGCATCAGTAACAGGGTAAGTAAAATTATTATGGATTTGTAATATTTTGCATATATTTAACAATATAATATAATATGAAACCTTTTCCAACTTATGAGCTATGGCAATTTGAATAGCTTTCAAACTGCCATTTGATGTGAAGCAGCAACAGCAATCTGTCACGCCACATTAAAGAGTGTCAAAATGACATGTATTATTTGAATCTAATGAAAAAAACGGATATATTTGAAAGCTGAGACTTTGTTTTATCAAAAAACTTTTTTGAATTGCTGCTTTTGAATGTGTCTGTTTTTGCTCTGCCAATGCAAATAGACCACAAATGTTGTTGAATCAGTGTTTTGAACAAATCGGTTGAGTGAATAATTAAATGACTCATGCATCAACAATCATAAAAGTCCCTTTTTCAGTTCAGTGTTTAAACCAATTGGTTCAATTAATCCCCATTAAGACAGTCACTTGTTGCCACCTACTGGTATGTCAATGTAACCTGCAATAAGAGTCAATGAGTTATTCCCACCATTAATGCATAGTATGATATAAACACTGAGAAGTCTTGGTGCTGTTGGACTATTACCGGGGACTGGAATTATTGTTGCATAATGTTACATATGCACATATAAAGCACTTGAAAAGTTTTATTATTCTGTATTATATCCCCCTGTGGAATCCTTTCAAGTAGCTCAGGCCATCAAGTGGTTGTAGCAGACAAACACACTCTAGTAAAAGTATGAGAATCTCACCATGCGCATCAATAACCATGATAAACTCAGCATGTCCACATGCACTCCAGACAGATACAAGCAGTCAGGAGTCAGTGGAGCCCTATCTATTCCTCTCTCTCTTTGTGAGTCATAATGATAAATTGTGGCCGATCTCCAGATGCGCATCTCAGCATTAAAGTCCTGACCACTGCTCTCACCGCACCTGCACACCCTGTCAGTTTCCCTGAGGTTAGCTGGCCAAGCCTAATGGAGCTTCAGAGACATGTAGATGCCCACGGCCCCCGTCTGTCAGAGATGACAGCACTGGTGACTAAGGGGCCCCGTTCAGCCGTCCCGCTCTGCAGCTCATCACACCGGCTTTAAATACAGCCCAGATGCATCACGGCCGTGTGTCAGGCTCAGTGTTGCGCGAGTAAATGAAATGGTTTGTTAAGGGGCCGGCCACGCAGTGGGAGTGTCGAATTACCCGGTGAGTCATTATGGAAGGAGTTAGAGGACGAAGGTGAACTGCGAGGAAGTGGGAGGGTGAGGAACATGAAGAAAGTTGTGAGAAGGAGCTGCTGTTATGTATGTGTGAGTGCATGCAGGGAGAGGGAGGGTGGTAATTACTTCAGCCTGAAGGCCTGGTGTGGAGAACAGCAGGGTCAGGAGACCAGTAAGCCCTGGAGGAACCCGAGGAAGAGCAGAGGTGTACAGATGGCCTTATCGGTTAGTGTTTTCTGTGGACTGATAATAGGAATGGTAAAGGAAGCTGTGCCTCCTCAAAAAATAAATGGATTAAGGAAAAAATCACCAGTACAACAACACAAAAAATATTAGGAAATACTATGTATCATCACATAAGCAAGAGTGCACTTTTGCTGAATATTTAGTCCAAAAAAAAGATTTTGCTCTGGTTCCAGGGAGTACTTTGGAAAGACTTTTATTTTATTTTTTTATTTCTTGCTTTCTTTGCTTCCCAAACTATGAGTACTTAAGCAGCTCCTAGGGGGTACTTTGTTTGTATTTATTTATTTATTTATTTTATATTCATATAATATATTTATATATTTTAATATATTTATTTATAATATAATATATTTATATATATTAGTGCTGTAATATTATGTAAACAAAAACGTTTATTTTGGACGCGATTAATCACGATTAATCGTTTGACAGCACTAATATATATTTATAATATATATTTTTAATATATTTCTTTGATAAATAATATGTGTAGCACTTTATGTGTGCATATTGTAATATGCCACACATATTACAATATGTGTGGCCTTTTAATGGAGGAAAGAAAAAAGAAAGAAAATCATCCTAGCAAAATTGAAAACTTAATTTTCATCTGTTTTGAATGTTATTATTATTATTAAAACTCAATCAAGTGTGGAATAAAATCAAAGAAAAATTACAGAAAGTATGGTGACAAGTTAAGGATATGGAAATAAATATAAGTCATTTAGATCCAAAAGCTTTTTTTTTTTTTTTGACCATTTTTAAAGTGCAAGTATGATCATTTGAGCTGATGACAGCCTGTGCATCCAGACAGATGTACATTTTTTATTTAGTTTTTATAAAGGGGTCTGATGGGGCTGTGGGGGTAGATAAGACAAAACTGGTTGGGAAACACTAAATTAGAGAACAGGAACTAATTGTTATATAATACTAAATTAAAACGAAAGTCCAGAGCACAGTAATGGCCGTGTGGGAGTATTTCAAGAAGACAGCTAAATCTCGTACCGTCATTGACTATGAAAAACGCTGCTCAAATCAGCAGGCATATGCGCTTTTGACTGCATGTGTTTGTTTGGCCTTTTTGCCTTACTGAACATCTGATGTTACCGTTCCACATGTTGAAATTATTCCTTTCTCCGTTGTTGGCAAAAAGAAGTAGTGTAGTATGACAGTGCTACATAATTAATCCTCAGATGTATGCATGAGAGGAATAAGAAAGGAATATATTCAGGAATATATTTAATAGCTATGATTATGACATGTACCCCTCTTTTGGAGCATGCGGCGAATCGCGAGCGCAGATGCCGTGAACTCCGAGCGAATGAATATGACATTTTCGCGTGCCGCTCTCTCCAAAAGCACTCCATGCCTCTTCATCTCCATGAGATTCAGTCGTACAGTCTCTGTCACAGCACATAACATCAAACCGAACCTCCTCCTCCTCCTCCTCCTCCCCCCACCCCCCACCCTCACCCTTTTATTTCACGCAAACACATTTTATAAAAAGTCCAAACAGCTGTTGTCAATGTGCCCATGTGAGCGAGTGTGTGTTGTGTTTCTAGGGTGGTTACGCTGCCTACCGATACACTCAGCCTGCTACTGCTACCGCCGCTGCCTACAGTGACAGGTAAGACACACACCGCTGCCTGCACAC